AAATCAGAAAATTCCAGCTCAGAATACAAAAACTGTTTACAAATTGCAGTGTTTTAACATCATCTCATACTTTGAAATCATTTGACAATATCATGACAAAGGAAAAGAGAACACAGTCTTAAAGATAGACACATTAAATAGATAGACAGAAAGAAATTGAAAGGAAAAGATAAAATAAAGAAAGACTGTAACAAAACAAATTATTAAAAGATAGTATATAGCTGTTTTAACAGACTATATCTGGTTGATTTCCTCCTCTTCATATTCAGATAATTCTGAATTTAGCCATTTTCTTGTAGCTGCTTGAGTTTCTGATAGAAAGTCTATTAAGTATTTAATTCCTGTCTCAGTTGAGAATAAGAATCTCATATTTAATTGATTTAGATCATACTTCTCTTTCAATCTGGCTCTGAGACTATTGTATAATGCACAGTGCATTACAATATGCTCAGGATTCTCATTTGTATTGCAGAATGAGCATTCTATTAAGTCAAATCTATCATCAAATCTTTGTATATAAGATTTGAAATAGCCATGTCCTAGTTTCAGCTGTATTATAGATGAGAATATTTTCTTTTTACATTTAATTGAACAAGATTTCCACTTGGGTTTTGTTTCAAATCTTGAATAATGTATACTCTTCTTTTGTTTCTGCCAGCTTTCATTCCACTTGTCTAAACAAGATTCTTTTATTTTTCTCTTTATAAAAGACCAGGACACAATTTTTTGAATAGATCTGCTTAATTCTGCACTCTTTTTTGCAGCTGAATCAGCCAATTCATTGCCATGAATATTCATATGAGCAGGAACTCAGTGCAGATGAATTATCAGCTTTGATGTTCTTCTCTTTTGAATTTTCAAAATAGAGTTTAAGATCAGTTCAAGATTCATTTGATCATTATGAATCTGACTATTTCTAAGTCTTTTTAAAGCAGCTTGACTATCAGAGAATATTCATGCCTCTTTCAAACAATTTCCTCTTTTATGAGATTTTATTTCAATGAGTTTGAAAGCTTTCACTATTGCAAATAGTTCAGCATCAAAGACTTCACATTCAGAGCCTAGATTCCAGAAATCTGAGATAAAATTGATATTATCTTCAGTATAAGCAATGCCTGCGCCTAATCTATTCAAGTTCTCATTTTTTGAGCTATCTGAATAAATCAGAATAGAGTCTTTTATATTGATTGTAGAAATTCTCTTCAAATGCTGTTCATATTCTTTCTCTTTTGATAGTTCACTTATTTGTAAGTCTATAAGAGATTCAAGCTTTTCTCTTCAGAGAGATAACTTCTCATGATCAACTTTTTCAACATTTAAAGAAGAAAATTGATTTTTAATCAGAGAGCATAGTCTGTACAGTTAAGAAGGCATTTTCTTTGAAGAATTATTTTCATTCTAATTAAGAAATCTATTTCAATTCAGTTCATTTCCAGAGTTAATTGATGGAAATGAAGAAGAGACTCTTTCTCTGATTATATGATTTGAGCTCATCTTTACAACTCTCAGAGCATAGTTCATACAGGCCTTTTCAAATCTAATAGCAGGAGGAGGAATTGAAGCTTCAATTTCCATTGCTTTAATAGGAGATGATTTGAATGCTCTCAGAATTCTTCTCAAGGCTCTGTTTTGCAGACTTTGAAAGAGTTCAGTGAAATTCCCTTGATTATTCCATCAAACTTGAACTTCATAATCAGCTACTGATGTAATACAGGCTATATATAACTGTCTCATAGCCTGGAAGAATAGACCTCTCTCTGTATTTGATAGTCTGATTATGTTGTTCAATAGTCTTTCTGTCTTGACAGTTCTTTGTTGAATATGATATTTAAAATTCAACTTGGAGTTTAACCATACTTCTAATCATTTGACATTTACACTGGGTTTAATCTCTCTATTTAAAAGAGTTAGAGATAGTTCTTTCTCATTGAATCTAGGAAAGAAGTGAATTAACTCAGTTTTATTCATATCAAATTGAATTTGATTGATATCTGCTCTAACAAAGATTTTCTTTGCAGCTTCTTCAATTACTTTCAAATTCTCTTTGATAGTTTTTGAGCTGTAGACTAGACTAATATCATTCATATAACTCAGAGATTGCACTATTCTCATATTTCTATTTTTAAATAGATATGCAGTGTATATTGCAAATAAAATGAGTGAGATTGAAGATCTCTGTGATACTCCTATTTTTATCTCAGTCTTATCTTGTTTCATTCCATCAAAGAAGAGTTGTATACTTCTTTTAGACATAAAACAGTTAACTCATTTTATTAGAGAAAGTGACAGTTTTAATATCTTCAATGTCTGAATTAACTTTGACTTTGAAACATGATCAAATGCTTCTTTTATATCAATAAAAACTGCAGTTGAGACCAGACCCTCATGCTTTGCTATTTGAATATCATGAACAACTGAGAGAACAGTGTCAATTGCAGAACACTGTTTTCTACCTCTCATTTATTCACTGAATAAAAGAGAATCACCTATAGAGCTTATAAAAGATAGTCAAGTAGCTATTATCTTTTCTAAAACCTTTCCTAGGCAGTTCAATAGAGATATTACTCTATATGACTTAGGAATTGAAGTTTTTCTATTAGGTTTTGCAAGAATCACTTCAGTGGCTTCTCTCCAGCATTCAGAATGATATTCATTTTTCAAGAGATTGAAAAAGAGCTCAAAATATTCATTCTTTAAGTAGGAATATGTATTCTGAATAATCAAGTGATTAATTGAATCAGAACCTGCAGCAGTTTTAACAGAACTTGAGAAGATAGCTGACTCTAATTCATCTTATGTAAGATCAGGCCATTCCCAGTCATTTTCATCAATGTAGTTGAGAAGTGATATATTCTCTTCCTCTTTCTCTGAATCTGAATCTGGTGAGTTCTGAAAGAGAATTCTCATGAAAGCTTGACATTTTTCCTCAAAAGAGTTTGCTGTATATGATTCATTCTGAAACTCATATTCTAAGGCTGGGAGTTTTGCTACACTTCTTATTTTAGTATAGTTAAAAGCTTTAAAAACTTCCTTCCCTTGTGCTTCTTTAAGAAATTTATTCCAGCAGTCTGTTTTAGCTCTTTTAATATCTGAAAAATATTCATTTCTGACAGCTTTGAACTCTTCATCAGATATTATATCATTCTTTCAATCTCTTCTAGCAGTAGCTAATTCTTTCCTTTTAGATGAGATATTCTCATTCCATCAAGGTTTTGAATACTCAGAAGATTTTCTCTTTGAAATATTATCTCTAACACTTGTTAGAATAATAGATGTAATAAGCTTCACTCTATTCTCAAGCATTTCATTTGAGATATCTTGACCAGAATTCCAATATAGCTCATTCTGTCTTTCAGATTTTAACAGTTTTATGCTTTCTTCAACTGCTTTTCAATCAGCTTTTTCAAAGTTATACTGATTAGAGAGAAGAGGATTTTCACTCATTTGTTTTTCACTCAGTTCAATATCAAATTGAATAATCTCATGACCTGATCCTGATGTCTCATTTGAATCAATAAACCAGTTTACAAGTCTTCTTTTCATTAGATTTTATGACATGAAGGTTAGATCTATAATAGACTTCTGTTTCATGCCTTTTCTAAAGAATGTTTGTTGATCAGACTTATTAATCAAATCTATTGAATACTCAAAGGTTTATTTAATCAGATTATCAGCTCTCACTGCTCTCTTGCATTCTGAATTTCATCAGAGATGATGTGCATTGAAGTCTTCTGCAATTATAGAGTTTCTTGATGGAGTTATGTTCAGAAATCCTCTATCAATTGTTCAGATATTGTTATATTCCTTCAATGACTTTTCATTATAGATATTTATGAGCTGTATAGTATCAAACTCATTTTCTTTATCTATAATGTCACTCACCAGAACATCAGGGTCAGACATGATATCAAATCTTAGATTAAATTGATATCTTGATCTCTTTCTTTCATAGATCACTACTCTTGACTTTATCTCAGACTTTTGAGGTAAAAAGCAGTAGTAGCTTGAATGAGAAATGACATATTTTTGCTCAGCATCAAAATTCGGCTTCTGAAGCAGTATAAAATCAACTTTTTGTTCAAATGCAATTTGAAGACAAGAATAAATGCAATTTGAGTTTCTATTCACATTATTTTGAATAAATGTGATTTTTGAAGAGTTTTTAAACTTTTTTTGTTGTTTTTGTTGTATATTCATACTAAAAGAGAGTAGAGTAGAATCTAATCACTATTATCAGATAGTAAATTATAACTGTTCTGAAAAGTAGAAATCTCAACTGCTTGCATTATATCTAGTTTATCATCAGAGTCATTTCTCAATTCTCTAATCTTAACAGAAGTTTGAGGATTCAAATTCTGTTTACATTTAGCTGGAGAATTGGAGTTTGAAGACTTAGATAGTTGAGAGTTTCTTCTTTTTGAGCTTGCAGTTGTGAGTTTACTGGCTTGACTATTCTCTTCAGTTCTAGGTTTACTCTGAGCTTCATCTTTTCTCCAGTTCTTTTGAGTTCTTGGAGCAAAAATACATTCTTTTGAGCTAGATGCATGTTTTTCTTTGCAATTAGAGCATTTAAGCAGAGTGTGTTGACATATTTCACCTCTTTTTGAGCATGTTTCACATTTATGCTCACTAGTTTTGTGATCTCTGGCACAGAATGCACATTTTGAGTCTCTGAAACAGGAGATTGCAAAGTATTCATATCTTTGACAGTTTGAATACTGTGTTTGAGCTTTGAGATTCATTCTTGAGTCTTTGTATTCATGAACTCTCATTTTCAAACCTGCTACTCTTACTTCAGAGATCTTTGACTGTTTCATTGTCTTTGTATATACTAGAACAGAGGCATTTCTTCTGCTTTGTCTGAACTCAATTGAATTTAGTCATACAGGCTTCTTTCTCAGTTGAATAGAGTTGTATTCTTCTAATTCATTTTTGAGAAGTAGCATTTCTTCTTCACAGTCAAAAATTTCAACTGGAATATCATGAAGAATGAATTTGTCTCACTTTTCATCTCTCTTAGATAGAATTGTTGTGTTTAACAAAGATTCTACTGCTGATTTCCAGAGATTCTCATTCTGAATAAGGAATTCAGCACTGAATTCAGGCATTGTAGTCAGAATGATGGAGTTTCCAAAGAAGAATGGCTCAATTGAAGCTATAACTGGTTTTTGAACTTCAATATCAGTCATTAACTGAGAAAAGAACTGCTGATTGATTTCATTTCTAATTCTGAAAATGAGGTTTGAGTTTAGCTTATTTCTCTGCAATATGTCCTGATTTGAGACTTTGAGAATAAGTCTTCTATTTCTGGAGATTTGAAGATTTTTCTCTTTTTGCATTTTTTTCTTCACTTTTCTATCACTAGAAGTATGAGCAGTATTCTTCTCAGTTTTCTCAGAATTTTGAGCAGGTTTCAAGATAGCAGGTTTAGAGGCAGCAGGTTTAGAGGCAGCAGATTCAGCTGCTTGAGCATATGTTTTCTTCTGATTTAAAGAAGAAGAAGAAGAAGAAGTAGAAAAGAAAGAAGAGCAAACTGAAGAGTCAGTAATTGTATTAGAAATTTTCAAAGTTTTTTGAACTGTGTTTGAAATTCCAAGTTTGAACTTGATCACTTTCTGTAGTTGTCTAGTCTGAGCATGAAGAATTAACAGAACTTCTTCATTCATCTCACTCAGACACTGCTTTCCAAGAATTTTACTTGCTTTTTCAAGTTCCTGTATTTCAAGAACTTGTTGTTTCTCTATTTCTTCTTTCTTTCTTCTCTTCAGAATTTCAATCTCAGGAATAGCATTTGAGAAAGCATCTTTTTCCACATCAACTGAGTGTACTTTTGAACTCATTGTTCTTACTCAATGAAAAGTTGGTCAGACTAATTCAATTGAGATATTTATTAAACTCTTTTGTACTTGAGACAGTATTAACTCTATATAAATACTGAAAAATACTTATTCTACATACAGAAGATTGATTTCTTAGATTATATTATTAAGATGAATGACATTTTAATGAACAGAAGCTGAGTCTCTGTCATTGAGAACTGACTGATACTGTAGATATACTGTGAGATGCAGATATTTCTAGAATTTATAAATTTCTATAGATGATTCATCTATACATATTCATGAATTACTGTCTCTCTTACAGATCTGTTAAAGAGAAGTGTGAAAGATAGAAAAACAGAATTATTTATTCTCACTCAAGACACTGTATAGATATTTGTGAAATTGAAACAAGCTTTTATAGATATCACAATGCTGAATTACTTTAATCCTGACTTACTCAGTCAGTGTGAGACTAATATATTCAGAAATGAGATCTGTGAAATCTTTTCATAGTTAACACTGAAGATCTTTCAATATTGAAAGAATTAGAGAATAATTATCTCTGAGAAAATAGATAATGAATTGTCTGTAAGAGAAGACTTTTTCATAGAGTCTATAAGACACTGTGAATAAAGATCAGTGATCTTCTTCTTCAAGAAGTTATCACTTATACAGAGAAGATATAATACTTATAATCAGAAGATGTTAGTAATTATTGAATTCTTTAAGATCTGATAATATTATCTTCAGAGTAGTAAGTACTCAGTGTAAGTTCTCACTGATTATATAAATCTGTATTATTTCTTAATAACAAAGAGCTTGATAGAATATCAAGTCAGATAAGTGAAGCTGCTTTCAGAGTATAATTTCTATATCTGATACTATTCAGATCAGCTTAACTCTGCTGATACACTGTCTAGACAGTCTGATTATAATATTATTAATGTAGAGAAGAATTCTATAAAAGAATCTCTGTCATCACTGCAGAAGAAGCTGACTGCAGAGAGTTGAGATTCTCTGAAGCTCAGAAACAGTGTCAGTAAGACAGCTATGTGACTCAGTATAGAAGATGAAAGAAAATCCAGATCTCTGCAGAGAACTGACACTGAAGATTATGAGCTTCTTATATTATATTTTACAATTATTGAATTGACAAAGAATGAAATAGTCTACAATCTTTTAATCTGACTACTTTTGAAATTTATTGATAAGTTACAGAAGAAGAACATCTCTACTGCAGCTTGAATTCAGAAGTTGAAGAAGAAAGAATCTGATTTAAACTTGAAAGAGACAGACTCTGAGTGAGACAGTGTTACTAAGAAATCAAGTCACTGATAACTAGAAGAATGTGAACTTCTACTGCTGAATGATTCAGTCTTTATCTCTTATAATAGAATGATGCATTAGAAGTTATTGAGAATTTATTATAATAATCTTCATACAGAGCACTTTAGATTAGAGAAGACTAAGAAGCTTCTAAAATATAAATACATTTGAGACAAGCTCTGAGCAGATGTTAAAGAGTATATTAAGACTTATAATGTCTGTTAAAGAATAAAGATTCTGCAGTATAAGTAATACAGTAAGTTAATATCACTGTCTATTTCAAAGAACTTATAATAGAATCTATTAATAAATTTCATAGTTGACCTGCTGAAGTCAATAAGAGTCAAAGAATATGACTCAATTTTGATCATTGTTAACTGCTTTATAAAGATGATCAGATATATTTCTATTTATAAAAAGATTAAAGCCTCTGAATTAACTGATCTGTTTTTAGATATCATTATTTATAATTACAGTGCTCTGAAATCATTGATAACAGATTAAGAATCTCTCTTCATCAGCAAATACTGATCAGCTTTTTACTATTATCTTATGATAAGATATCTTCTCAGTATCACATTTCATCTGCAGATAGATGATCAGACTGAATATCAGAATCAGATACTAGAACAGCATCTTTAAGTGTTCTATTGATATTATTAGAATGATTGACTTAAATATCTTCTAATCACTGAATTTATATATAACAATGTAAAGAATGCAATCTTAAAGATATCTTCTTTCTATACTTATTATGAATATAATTCTTTATTACTCAGTGACATTGCAGACAATATTTCAAAGAGAGAAATAGACAGTCAGAATATTAAATAGATACAGAGAACAGAGTATCTCTTAGTATTAGAAGTAAAAGCAAGATTGAAACTTTTGAATAAAATTCATGAGAAGATGATAAAAAGCATTCACTGTACTTAGAAGCAGTAAATGAAATACTATAATTAAAAACATCTTTCAATAAAGTTCTTAATAGAGAATCAAGTACTACTTTTAGCAAAGAATATCAAGATAATGAGACTGTGTAAGAAGCTCAGTGAGTGATGACTAGAATCTTTCTCAGTAATAAGAGTAATAAGTAAGCAGATATATGAGTTGAAATTATTTATAGAATTGAAATCAATTCATTCTGTTTTTCACATTTTCTATTTAAAGCTTTATAAGTAATACTCTGAGATGAAGTCATCTCAGCTAGATGATATTGAGATTGAGAATGATACTGAATATCTTATGAAGAAAATATTAAATAAGTGAATATATTACAGTAAGCTTCAATATCTTATAAAATGAAAAGATTATTCATTATCAGAGAATTTATAAGAACTGCTTAAGTATTTGAAAAATACTGAGAAAGAGATTACAAGTTATAAGACAGCTAGTAGAGACTGCTCTGTTACATATCAGAGATGTTGAATAAGAAATACTGCTTAAGACTTCTCATTTTTTCTTAAAGAATTTTTTAGAGATAATCTCACAGTAGTGAGCTGATGTCTTATAAGCTCTGTAGCACTCTTCTTCTATTTTCTCTCAAAGAGTTTTTTAGAAGTTTAATAAGACTACACAAGTGTAAAATTCCTGAAGCAGTTAATAAGAAAAGAAAGAAATATTTGAAATTAATAAAAAAGATTAATATTATTAACTCACAGGCTACTGCTATTCTAATAAGACTACAGCCTGCTGAAAAAGTAAAAAGAGAGAATCTCAGAGTCTACTTATCAATAATCACACTCTTATCAAACTCATTCTTCACTGTTGAAGTCTCTGACACTGATATCTTTATCTGCTAAGAAGTTAGTGCTGCAGTATTATAGAGAAGCATGCTATAGAAGAGTATAAGAGATGCTTAAAGTATTAACTTATTAATTTATAAAGCATCTCAGTCATCTACTTCAATTGAAGTGAGATTCTCTTCAATCAGTGATTAATCTCTATAATACTTTTAACAGCAGTATCAGCTGATTTCTTCTTAAAATCAGTCATTCTGAGATGTTTTTTCATCTCAGAGATTCACACTTTCATCTTCTTTTACAGATAAGTAAGAGAAATCTTCTCAGTCTTGACAGAATTCATCAACACTTGAAGCTCTGAGACTCTCACTCTGTACTGCTTGAGTATCTGAGCTTCTTATCAGAGTTAATATAACATCTTCTTGTAAAGTAGATAATACTTAAAGTTACAGAGAGATAGAAGTTGTTGTTACAGATATAACAGAAATAACAGAAGTGAGAGAAGAAGCAGATGTATAAGATTCTCTTCTTCTTCAGCTGCTTAGTGTAGTGCAGATAAGTAGCAGTATCAGTCAGAGACTGCACTGAAGTCTTCTCACAGAGAGAAGATGAAGAAATCACAGAATTCTGCAGACTCAACTCAGCAGCATCTCAAGCAGGGCTCAGATGTGCTGTGAGAGAAGAACTACAGATTGAGCTTCTCAGAGTCACTGTTCTCAGAATCAAGCTCTTTCTGAGTTTCTCTCTGAATGATCACACAGAGTCATACATCACTGTGTTGACTGAGAAGAGAAGCAGTGTTGCAATGGCAGCAGAGAGAGCAGAGAAAGAATCAGATATGAATGAATTGACTGACAGAAAGAACAACATCTCACTGCAAGGTATGACAACTATCACTGCAGCTGCAAGAGAAGCAGGAGGAGAAGAAGAAGAAGAAGATATGACAATGAGAGCAGTGCTCCCGCGGTTCATTGACATCACTGTCTCTGCTTTCAATCAAGCTTTCTTAACAGTCACAGAGATCACAGTCACATCATGAAGATATTTATTTACTAGAAAACATCAGAATAAGCTCTTTATTATTCTTCAAGAATAATACTCTCATGCACTCACTGTTGCAATTGAGAGAGAGAAAAGAAAAATGTTTTATAGAGAAGAAAATCTTTTCAAAAAATCCTATCACTACTGTTAACTTTGTCTCTAAAATACATCACTTTTACAGGGAATTTCATATATAGAACAGAATATAATGAAAGATCTACAAGTCACTTATTAACTACATTTTTCACATCTTAAATCAATATATAAGAAACTCACTTATTATCTGTTTGATTTGAATGAAGATGAATAAAGAAAGATCTACATAGTCAGTAGAAAAACTCATCTATTTCTTTATATCATATACAGCACATATACTGTCAATCAGTTGACAATCATTGTTATATAATAAAGATAATTTCTAATTCAGTAATCTTGAGAGCATCAGAACTATGCTCTTAAAGAAGAGAGCATTATCACATCTCTGACTGTATCAAGACTCTGCTGTGGTTTTATACAGCTTATCACTTTCATGTGAATGATTTCATTCATTTCATAAGCTATCTGAACTGGTTTTTAATCACTCTATAACATTATTTGAATATATCATAGAAAGATCTGATTGATGAATATGAGAACTCTGCTTCTATATAAGGTTAGCAGATTACTTTTTCTTGATAGTAAGGCATCACTGAGGTATCACTTCAGCTATTCTTACTTATGAAATGAGAGAAGAGTATTCACTCATTGTCTATATAGAATAACTAGATGCTGGCTTCTTATCAAAGAAGTCAGTGATTTATTTTTTCTCTGACTGAAATACATACAAGAGTTACTGCATGTCTTATACAATCTTCTTAGTATACTAAGTATCATATCTGTGATATTCTCACAATAACTCTGTAGCCTACAAGCTCACTATTCAAGCAAGATAGTTAAGCTCACTTATA